AGAACCTCGCATGGTCTGAAGGCATCTCAATACACTTGGAGACACGTGACTACCGCCACCGTCAAAAGACTACGTCATTCAGTACGATAAAGTAAATTTAAATTTTTATCCATTACGAATCACCTGTGCTGATACTTGTTTGCAGAGACGTAATGTGTATTATATAAAGCCCAATTTGATATTTGCGTACATTGATTAATTTTTGGCCTTGTAATCCTGGGGTCTCGGGTTCGCATTTATAACTTGTGTTGGGCAAGGCCGGGGTCTAGGGAACACGGAGTTTTCCTCCGGGGGCTTCCCCGGTTTCTCTGTGGCATCCCAACAATTACTCCATTCACACACAGAAGAAGGCAATGGCAAACCACTTCTGGATCATCTGCCAAGAACGTATATGAACAGGTCCCAGTCCGAGAAAAGGATGGGAGGATCCTGTTCATATGGACCTGTCGTCAGACAGAACACTAAATAAATAATAAATATCCAACATCCAAAAGGAAAGTGAGGATGATTGTTGTTAACGAGTTAAATATATTTAAGAAAGGGATAGAATGTCAGGTGTAAAAGTGATATAACACATTTTGTGATGTGGAGGACAAATATTGTTTCACTACAAGATTTCTACCTTTAATAAACAAACACCGCGAATAATTAAGTATGTAAAATCACGAAGAGCATATGAGGTTATTCCAATCTGGTTCACACCATTCCGTAAGTCCAAGTTTGGTTGCGGATTTCCTTGTTAACACAAACAGCAGAGAGAAAAGTGCCCCGCTGCTTTGATGACACCTGCGAGGAAACGCGGTGAAGACTTGCCCATGAAATTTGTCTCTTGCTTTCCTGTTCACGGCTGCTCTACGTCAGTGTGTGGCAACAGAGCGGAAGCAGCAACTGAAAACTCCCCTTATCAATGGCCGCCAGGTCTGAAAAAGCAAAGGTGATTTGTTTCTGTGCCATGTATAGTCGCGTTGCTATGTGGTGGCCTCTGGTGTGCGCAGCTGATGAGGGAATCTGAGAGTAGTGGGGTGAAAGCTGGACAGCAGATCCCATAGGAGAGAAAGTGACAGCGTCGTTAATTGCCTTATGGCTTGCTGTTTTATCATGCATGATTTTACTGTCGCACAATGAGACTTGACGGCAGACAGCAGTCTTTCTCTTGTTTGGTTTTGTCCTGTACACTTGCGCAGATTTACGTTCCTAATAGGATAACATTGAGTGTAGTCTCGTCGCAGTATTCAAAGATAGCATGATGGGTCTAATGTTTTTGATACGGTATGCGCATCACCGAAATAATCTTTCGGCGTTCCCATGCATGTGACGTCATGTACCGGCACAGCTAGATTAAACGCAGTGTACATTCTACTATGTCACGATAACCAACTCCTAAATAATTTTCAATTCATCTTCCACGCTGATGAACTCTGCTGTTAAATAACGTTAAAATTATGTTTTATATTAAACAGATACAGTATCGACATAACGATTTGTGATGTATGAATCATAATTTATACAGATTTCCATATAGAATTACTGAGAGTGATGAGGGGATCTTGCGCGAAATGTCTCCCGCTTGTGTCAATTCTGAGTACCTGTGGGAGCCCACCTGTTGCGTTCAGGTCAGTGTACGGCAGGGACTTATACCGTATGTCCTCGATTTTAAGGCGCACTTTTTCACGTTTTAAAATTTATGAAATCGAGGTCCGTCGTACATTTGATGCCCAAGGCTTTTCTGGAGCAGCCAGCAAATGCCAACAGACCGTTGCAAATATTATTTCTTCGTGGTGGCACTATATTAGGGTTGGATACTTCGGCTTTGTAATCACTGAGACGGTCCGGAAAGAATAGATACCACAAAGAAAAGCTCAGAAATTGCGTTTTAGGCAAAACGTCTAGGAGTAAGCACAGAGAAAATTACTTTCTGCAGGAAAAATATAATATAAACACAGGCAACAAATACTTCGAAAAGTGTAACAAATCAAAGATACATTAAGAGCAGGCTGTATTCGGAGTATGCTTTATACTTTCGTGGTCCAACTGGCAGCAAGCAGGCCACGTCCGGCCCGAGACCACTTAAAACCAAGCACGCGAATTTATTTGTTAATTTGTTAGAGAACTTATTTTCTTTGCTCCAGAGATTGAAAAAACGTTTTCTTGTCTCGTCCGCTGCTTTATTTACAAATGCCACACATATTACTGACTTTAAAAACCCGCCGCAAAATGGAAATTCTCCAGGTAAAAATCGTAAGATAAAAGCTGCAGGAGCTAGATTAAAATATGTAACTCTACAGTAATTGTGCACATTTAAATAACAATTATTTTTCAACATATATTGTGGTAATTTGTTGTTTATGAACGTGTTAAAGATGACGAAATTTGGCTGTTAGTTTTCGAAAACAATGCCAGAAGGGTCTTTGACCCTTGGATTCTACGGAAAATCGCCTGACCCAAAGGAAGAAATAAGTTGAAGCACCTTCATTTATACAGTCCACAGATCAGGAGAAAAGCCCTGCTAGGAATGCGTTACACGCGCATGCGCAAGATTTCGCCGTGAGTGACGATCCATCCTAAAAGCATTCTTTCCACAACCACTGAACAAACAACAGACAACAATCTTTCATATGTTTTAATGGGTATAACTTTAAGATTACCTCACAGTGGCACAGTGATTTAATCTAGAATATTATCGCAACACCCACAGAACACATTACAAGTGCGCTCACTACACGCCACTCTTAACTGCTTCATGTTTTCAGTCTGTGCAGTAGAGTAAAACTCTGACGTATCGCACTTCCCACCAATAGCAGCTCTCTAGTCCACTTGATAGTAAACATTCCCCCTGCACCAAACCAGAAACGACTTTCCTCCGCAGGGCTCGTGGTCTGTTGACAGTATTATAGCAAGATGGAGTAAGTGAGGATCTACCTTCATGAAATGGTATTAAGATGATCGAATGGAGGATGAGACGGACAGAGCACGTAGCACGCATGGATAGATACAAACACACCGCGCATCTGATAGATAAGCCGCTGCACACCTCTGTAAAGCCTTGCAGGTCACCATGGCGACAGTGCGAACTTGTAAAATCTGTAGTACTAATTCAAATGTTAAAAACAGACCACGGCTAATTCCTTCCATATCTTCCGAATTTATTTGCTTTTTCTGATAATTTCTGGCTATAGCAGTTACAGGTACAGGAATCGTCAAATTAAATGACGCCAAGCAAGTGCTACACCTAGGGGCTGTAAGGATATAGCATTGCACTCTGACGTCACGTGTTTGCTATTTTAAATGGAAGTCGTACTTGGAACTGGTTAGCCGGCATGAACCCTGCTTTCTGGGGATTCACTCCTACAGTTTCCATAGAATTCTTGACCGGTTGAGTTTCACGTTCTAGAGACCGCGAGGATTCACCGACGCCCCTCTCCCTTCCCGCAATGCCGACGTTCATCGTTCGAAGGCGGGCGCATAAACACGGAATTATTTCACCACTGGCCTCAGCTAAAAATAAACCCACGGCCCTGCCTCTTTCCTGGAAAACTTTCAATGATGTAATTAATTTCTCTGGCCCGGTACTGCATAAGACGTAACAGAATACCATCTGACACATGGATGACCTAAGTGTAGATGGAGAATAATATTAAAATGGGTCTTAAGGAAAGAGGATTGGTGGTTGTGGAGTGGATTCGTGTGTCTCAGCAGAGATATCGTTGACTGGCTCTTGTGAACAATGTAATGAACCTTCGTGTGCCATAAAAAGGCGAGGAATTGACTGACTAATTAAAAGACTGTTAGCTTTTCAAGAAGGACTCCTCCCTGTAGTCGAATACCAAATCTGTGGTTCAGGGTCTGTCGTTACTCGGGTATTCAAGTTGCCCCCGACCTTACTGGGCACAGAAAGATTTATCACGATACTCACAAATGCTCGCCATTGGACCCAAAACTGAACCAGCTGAACGCTGCCCACACATTCACGCCTTACTCATGTAAGATCCGCCTTGACATCATCCTCCCTCTGTGCTTAGATCTCTTACGTGGTCTCAGCCCTTAAGGTGTTCATTTGAAATGCCTGTGAATTTATGATTTGCACATCACATCTTATCAACTTAAACACTTTAACAGGATGAGGCTGACAGTACAAATTGTAAAGCTTTTTCAATATGCAGAGAAAGACAAGTATTCTTCAGTTCTTCATTCCTTCAAAAAAACGTAGTACAAATACAGAAAAAACCACCGATGATGAGAGCATTCTTTGTTCGGGAGGTCTTTATGACAGTGTTTCGTGTTTGGTTTGTTCGAGTCATTCCAAACGGCCCAATTCTGTGATAAAATTTTTAGTTGTTTGTTTAAGTACGCCACATGGGTACTATTAGCTTCGAAAGATAGAATGGCCGCTGCTTCTGAATAAAATTTAAGGTAAGAAGAAGTCAGTTCCGTTGTTCTGTAACTTTGGCTGTGCCGTTGCAATGCAGATTAGTAATACCAGTTCGATCTAAATATGTCTGAGGACTAAAACCAACGTAATAGGCCTGTAAGTCTTTGCAAGTTTTGATTTTAGATTAACGTGTGTGAGACTTAGACTCTATACGTGATAATCGATACCTGTCGAAAGATTCGAAATATGTACAAATATTTGAACTAAGCCCTTAAAGTGACTTCAACTGGATGGAACTTACGCATGGCGATTAATCTGTACAGACTAACAGCTGTTCCGTCAGGTTTAGTACAGATCTGTCAAGAACTCAAGAAATACACGTAAGAGTTCATTTTGGCTTTAACTTAATTATACTAAACGAAAGTGTAAACGGAATCACGAAGTTTGGTGTTGGTCTACGTTACCGAGTTTGTATCAAAATCGGAAAGGAACACGATCGGGCACGACAAAATGAATGAATTATGGTTTTGTATTTTCCGCTATGAACTAGCTTAAATATTTGTTTGGGAGTTCCGTGAGCTCTGTTACCTTGGCACATCAAAGTACTGAAACATTTTTTCTTTCGTTACAGGGACAACACACAACAGAGATGACCTTCAGTCGAAGAAGAAGGCAGTTGACAACAACGGTACGTATAAAACGCATGTGGGTTACAAATACTTTACTGAATAAAACGATAAAGCCCACATGTTTGGACAACTTTTGGGCAGCACACTCTTGGTTCTTTCTTCTTTTATTCTTTATACTTGGACAGCTCAGATTTAAGTTGGTTGACATTTTTACCGTCATTGTGCTGAGCGTCATACTCCGGTTTACCCATCCTATATGTACACCCTCACCCCAAAATTCTCTCTCTTCAGAATGGCTGGATACAGCAAGCGTGACTCGATATTTATAAGTGGTCGCCAGTCGGAATAAGTCACTTTACGGGCACTGATAATGTAACAAATGGTATGTAATATACAGAAGAACAAGGCCATAGGCGAACTCTGTTATATGGCAAAATGAAAAGAAGCCAATGTAAAGAAGGAAAAGCTGTTACAAATTACGTGTTTCCAATTTAAAGTGTTGGAATTTTTTTACCTAAGGCAAGCTTTACATTGTCAACTAAAAACTTTGCTGTGTTGATATGACGGCAGAGGAGGGACACAGCTACTACGTAAGACTACGTTCGATTGTCGCAGTTTTTCTTTGCGATCTTCAGCTCCTACACGTCTATTTCTATTAGCGCTACTCTCCTCCTTCATCTTTTCCTCACATTCTCATTATTTCTTACAAATTTTATCCTCTCATTTGTTGGCAGTTTTAAGACATCGTTCGTAACAGACAGCAAAAACGCCAGTCGCAAACAGGAAACAAGATGTGTTTTTACATTTGTCTGTATGCTAGTGGAGTTACCGCTAAGGGTTAAACATTTCTGGCCTCTTTATGACATAATTCCTTCATTTGTGCGTAAGATTTCTTGTCCGTTTGAACCTTTCATTGATGAAAACTACAAAATAGTTATTTGAAGTGTCAAGAGGTGGCAGAATAATTAATTTTCATGGATATCAGACGAAAAGAAAGCTCAGAGAAGAAAGAGACGCGATATCTGGGCAAAAAATGGCGTTGGTTGATGGTGAAATGTTCCGAAGCAGGTACACGCGTCCTTCAACGTTAATCCTGGAAGTGTCCATTCATGCAGTTCGTTTCCGCCTTCTTTAATGACATCCCCCACTTGATGGAGCTGACCATAAAAAGAAAAGAAAGGAACTCTCAATTAATGAAGTAGCTGAATGTGATTCTGAGCGAGACAGAATGCCTACTCTCCACCAGAGGAAAAGTTGAAACGCGGTCTGCATAATGCGCAACGATTTACGGTACTAATTCTTTATGGCTTTGTCAGAACAATATTTATAAACTCAGTTCTCGCCTCAAAAAAAAATCACGTCTCCATTACACAGATCAATTGAGTAATGCTGTTTATTATAACAGTCATACGAAAGTCATACAGTCAGTGGGGAAAAATGCAGATTTCCTGATTTTTAAAGCATGTGGTACATATAGTTACCACAGAACTTCGAAGGGTTAACGCACAGACAGCGATGTAACATGATTATCCATCTTGATAAAATGATTGGTTACAGCGGGGACGAGCAGTTGTTTTTACACTGGGGGTCTACTTTTCTTTTATGTGTAAACAAAACGTGCAATTCAGGGGCAGAGCGTTGTTGTAACCACGTCAGCCCAGCTGAAGCTTTGGAAAACAAAATAAACAGTGTTCTATCTTACTTTTGTGGTTCAGTGATACTGTAATACAGCAGAACCGAAGATACGAAGTCCGAGATACAATTGAGGCTTGCGTTCGCCGCGAGCGTAGCGTCAATCTTCATGGCTTGGACATGACAAAGTGCCGGATGTTGGGTGAAACGAATGTCGCCTTAGGAGTTCTTGGTCACCAGTTCGATATTTGATCAGTAGGATATGAGGTTCTCACGGTGAGTACCAAGATGGTTGTCTTCTGGGTTGTAGCGCCGTGTCTGGTAGTGAACACTGACGTTGCAGAGGTAAACTTATTCCAGACTACACGGCGCTACATTTCCGAAGACAACCATCTTCTTTATTTGACTGGTCTTTTCTCTGTATTTTCCTCTATGTCTCTTGATGACATATATCACGATGGTGTGACTCAAGGAATCCTAGAGCATATGGAGACGACAAACTGCCACAGATCTAATAAGCCAGAATACCGAACCTTTGTAACAGAAACGAAACAATCTGAGACGATGGCATTGATGATCGAATCGCTCAAAGTATCCGCGCGATCTTGGGCTGCCGGAACACAGTTCGCGGGTTCGAACCCTACTCGAGGTGTGCATATATATTCGGCTTTTCTGTGGATTCGTTCTGAATCGTAACACGCTAGAAAGTCAAATCCCTGACAGAAGAATAATATTAATAAGTTGAAATATAGGTTATATTGGCCTCCCGGCGAGAATATGCGTCGTTAAGCAAAACAAATATAAATGTATGTATCCTCCCCTCCATCAGGTAAGTGACGTCACCCAGAATTGCTGCAACAGGAGAAGGAATCATGTGATGTCATAGGTCAGGTTCAGTGGCAGTGTAGAGGAGCCGATGGGGGCAGGTAGATGGGTTGTGAGCTTTGAAGATAGGTACAAAGTGACGCCAAGACAGATATTTTTTACGATGAACCATAAATATCTCAGAGATACACGAAAACAAATGGCACTAACAAGAAACATTTGTTAAACGAGTTGTTTTAGTTTGTTGATGAGTGTTTTACTGCATTCGTACAATTTTCGCTCGGACGTACAGTCTACATCATTCCAGTGCAATAGCGCCCTTATTCTAGTCAATCGGTGGTCCAGTTATAAAATCTGAATGGTTCGTTCTGATTCTGTTTTGCAATCAAAATAATCACTTTGAATTCGAACATCGTGCGGCACACAAGGTTGGAATTTTAAAAAGTAAGAACACTTTTTGTTGTAACTACCGAATACAGTCAATCTCTTTAATATTGGTCTGTGCGGTGCTGATCTGCTGTTCCTGCAATCTGCATGCTGTACGTATAGGCTTTTATCTTTATGGTTATCGGCCTGCAGTGGAAAATAATGGTGGGAGGCAATGATGGTTAATTACCTTGAGATTTATTGGTATATTATCAAGCAGACATTTTTATGAAGGTCCGATTTGAGCTTCAAGTAAAGCAGGCGTTATAGTTATAAAACCGAGCAGATGAAAATTAAATTTTCCCGAAAATTTCATTGCAGACGAAATGATAGTACGTAGTTTTAACGAGTAATTTGGAGACGAAACATACGGACGGTCATACGTGTCAGTTATATACAGGGTGATCGAAAAGTCACGCAACGCATTCGTGACATTTATTTTATTTGCAAACAAAAATTGCACCGAAATCACAAAATTAAAAAAAAGTATTAATGTTGGACATGCCCAGAAATGCACGCATTCACTCTTTTCCTCGTGTTTGTGTGTGTGAAGAGCTTCTGCAGTGATCGGAAACGCGGTTCACCAGACGAGATATTATCGATTTGTGTGACACAGGAGAATCGGGAAACATGTTCCTAAGCTCATCTTCGAAAGTTGTAAGTTGGAAACGACGTCCTTGAGCTTAACCGTTTGACAATAACTGGTGGACTGACGCGAGCAGGTTACAACGTGACGTGACCTACGTGGGCTCTTCTGTCGGACTGAGTCCAACATTTAAATTTCCGAGTTCCGGTCCGATGTCGGACTGAGTCCGCCACGTATTTTACGCATTTTTTACGAGATCTGGAGTCAAACTGAAGCTGGCATCTCATTCAAGCCTTCTTCTTTGCACTGGTTCTATCCTAGTTTTCCTGGTAAGACTTTGTAACCCTTATAATAGTTAAAGGAGGCAGGAGAGAAAAGTCATATTCTGACGTGTCCAAGGAAGCCAGGATTCCACATCGAGTGTTTTGTCATACATCATATAAAGACGAAATATCATCCTGTGAGTAGCTGTCATATTTACTTAGAATAGAAGTATTTTATATCTGATAAAGTTATGAAACAAATATCCCATCTTCCTAATAGGAAATTATACTTTTTAATTATTTTTGGAGCTTAGAGCAATCTACCACTGACATGTGCATATTCTTTCGTCTTCTTATCAAGCATTCTTTCACTTTCCTGGTGTTGAACTTGGTCTTGAACTTTCGAACACAAATTAGGGCGAAAGGAAGCACAGCTCTGAGAATGTGAAATCCAATGCTTGGACATCGTATCTGCATGCAGTAAGAGATGTTTAGACGTCGCCAAAGTCTTATCTAGCGACTTGGACTTGCTTTATTCTCTACCGATCGACAGGAAGCAGAAAGGCACCACTTACTACGCATTTCAGTAGCGACAGTGGTACAGTCCGTGAAAAATATTCCACACGGTCAATATTCAAACAAGAGGAACTGTGATCCTCTCAGAATATACTTTCACCATTTTTAGCAAAGTGTCTTCCGTTTTATGCAAGTTATAAAGAAAATCAAAACAGTTCATTATAGTAGTTGAATGTATACAGCTTAGTGGTATTTAAATATACCAGCAGAGAGCCATAGTGGTATTTAAAAGGGACCGCAAAGGGTTAATCCAGCCTAATTGTAATAAATTGGAATCACCAACAAGTATTTTAATATGGGATGCGTGTTTTTTCGATCAACCTGTGTTAATGCCATGCGCTTGTGCATTAAACGCGTACCGATGCAAACATAATCATTTGCCATTTCCGAAAATAATCCTTCTTTCTGCAGTGCATTCAAGAACTGGAAATTGTTTCATACACCAAATTATAGATATCACAAACATATGACATTCATTAGCTACCAAAGATTTAAATATATATCTAGTTTGCTTCTGATTCTGCAGCCCGATTCCAACCTGGATATCTGTTTACCTAGATCTTTTCTCCAAATCCTTATTCAGACAAACGGTTGAACCTTTGGACGTGTTCGAAAGAACAGACAAACGCTGACGGTCCCGAGTGAGATTGAAATGTTCCAGTGCTAGACCCTTTAAATAATAATTACATTTCATGGTTACAACTAAGATCATTATACGTTATATGCATGGAGTGAACACATTAAGAAATATGAACGCCCCTGTGGTAATGTGTTTCATCTCCGAAACTAATTAACGCATTTTAATTAAATTGCATTAAAAGTTGTCAGAAGATTCTAGACTTGGTTCATAATGGGTTGACGTAACCCATACAACTCAAACTGATCTTCCAGTTTCCCCGAAACGACTGATTATTAGGTATATGTGGACCAAACCAAGAAGATGGAATAAATGCTACTCTACCGCTCATACGGCATATCTTAAATGTAATGTGATTGGCTTTGTGATATCAGATTTGTATTTTCTGTAAATGAATATAATGACTAATATGGTATATTCAAAAGCATCAAAACCACATTTGGAAAATATGCGTATAAATCTTTCCACCCTCATTTCATTTTGCCAATGACATGTTTGTTTAAATTAGACTGATATTTTACACCAGGTCCATAAATGCACATTCATATTCACAGAGATGAGAACCACATATTTATATGAATCAGAAGAAAACTTTTAAAATAAATTCAGCCACCATTTTATCCACCATTCACTCTATTATCAATGTCATGACAAAAAATACAACAGCTGATGCATTTTGAAATTGTGAACTTCACCATTCCATTTTGGTAACATTCATTACCTTTAACAATTGAGGACAGTGGAATGATGTTTTGTTCAACATCATGTTTCAAAGACAATTTAATTAATTATGTATAAATGTTTCTTGGTTTTTCAGAGGATCCAGGAGGTGGTGGTGTGGTATATACAGGAATGGGGGGTGGTAATGGAGTTCCAAATGATGACAGCTATTCATCCTCTAACTCTTCCAAGTTGATGGACATTACTTCATCCTCCTGTGATCATAATAACAGCAAGTACCTGCACAAGAAGTTCAAGAAAATGGCAACAGCTTCACCTGTTACTGCTCCTTCCCAAGAGATCGCTGCCAATGACACTGTCATCAATGGTATTGTGTTTGGTCCTGTAAGGACAGTTGAACCTGCTATTGCATTGTTCAAGATATCAGATTCCTTCATCAAAACACCAAAAACTGTCACTGTGACTGAAGGGTTAAAGGGTAGAATAGGATTTGAAAGTAGGTCTTCACCCAAAGCTACATCAAGAGGTGCCTCTCCTTCAGTGTTGATGACAACTACAGTTCTTCCTGCACCCCTTCTTGCACCTGTTTCTTCAAACAGTTCTTCATCTTCTTCTTCATCATCATCATCATCATCAGTGCCTCAGCAGGGACGTTATGTGTGTCCATACTGCAAATTAGCATGTGCCAAGCCCAGTGTACTCCAAAAGCATATCCGTGCCCACACAAACGAACGACCTTATCCCTGTGAACCATGTGGATTTGCTTTTAAAACAAAAAGTAACTTATATAAACACTGTCGATCAAGAGCACATGCTCTGAAGATGGAGGAGGAAGGTTCCAACAATGGGACAAAATTCAACTTGCCATCTGCCGAGTCATCGGATGTCGAGGATGATGAGGATGAGAACTACAGCAACAGTACTCCACCACCGTCATCTATAAATAATGCTTCGACTACAGCTAACACAACAGCTCACTGTAATGACTTCAGTTTATCTTCAAATATCCCCAGCTACATTACAGCTACTACAACAGTAACTACTGCCACAACAATCAGTACAATATCAGCTGTGTCATCAACCAGTGAAAGTACCAACAGTCAAGACAAACCAAGACAAATCTACAAACCTAAATTCCACAAAGCAGCTTTGTACCAAGAAGAAGAGCAGCAGCTAGCAGCAGAAATTGCAATGACAGCTAAAATTAAAACAGTCCCTAGTAACACCGTCATTACTACTCAGTCATCATCTTCATGCCTCAAGACTCCATCTCCAGCCCATTTTACTCCAACATCCTCCCTGATCTCCAGCCTGAAGACCCCATCTTCTCCAAGCCCAGAGTTACTCCATCAGCACATCAATAAGATAATTAGTGATAACCAAGCAATTGTGGAAACTGTAGACCCACATTGGTCTAAGAAGTTTCTTCAGCGTCAGAGTAGCAGAGAGCAGTTGAGGGAAGGATCACCTCGAAGTCCCTTATCACCTGCATCTTCTCCAGGAATTGATGTAGCAACACAGTGGCCCAAAAAATTCTTCCATCGTCAAATGTCACTTAATGAATCAGAGAGAGTTAAATTATCTTTTCAACAGGCATCACAGTCAAAACTTGCACTTGCCCTTCTTCAGCCCAGTAATAGGCATGAGTCAGCTTCATTGTCACCAAGACCTTTAGAGAGTCCTGTATCAACTGTCTCAACCACACCAGATCAATCATTATCATATCAGCAACCTCTGAATCTCTCAACAACGCACAACACAAGCAGCAAAATAAATAGTGAGGATCCCAACTCCAATGTTCATCGAAAACGTTGTTTCTCTGAAGGCTTTTCAAACACTGGAGCTGTAAAGAACCAAACTATGAATTCAGCTACTGTTCTCAAAGATCACAATATACTGACTACAGCAAATTACCATCGTGGGCAATCCAATTCAAAGCTTGCAAGACTGGATGGCTCCATCATGAACATATCCTGCATAGAAGGTGGACTGAAGAATCATACCAATGAAAAACTTCTATACCATCCACAAAATCCTGAAGGTTCAATCATCA